CCCCCCCAATAAAAATAACCTTTCCTCTATTAAGCCCAGACTGAGGGCCTCAGTCTAGGGTGCTAAAAATCAAGTCTTTCTTATAAGCCCCCAGGGGGCTAAATAGAGGAAATATTGTACAAATAAGACTAGCTATAATAGACTACTGCAAATCTTGTGTTCTGATTGGCTAAGCCACTAGTGTTCTATTTCGTATAGTGCATGAACCATGCACTCCCAACCAATCAGAAAGCAAGATTCATAATTTATGACAGTTATACATAGGAATTGATTAAAGGGGACAGCTAGCATGAAAATCATCCAAATTTTAATTCAGCTGAAACTTTGCTGGGATAACCCTTACAGGTCTAACAATCACTGGTTAAAGTTTTTTCCTGATATTCAGATGGGAAGAATTATATTTTTACGAATTTTTTAGGAGTCTGTGACATAATACACTCAACACTAAACATCGATCCATACATTTCTTTGTATTTTGTAATCATCCACTAGTTTTATACTCAGTATTGAAGAAAAAATATCATAAAATGACTCTAACCACAAGTTATGTACGTTAAGTTCATCAGCGAACCTTTGGGTTTAATAGAAAAAGAGTAAAACATGAAGTTATTTATGAAGAAATGTATGAAGTGATGTTTATTGTATGATATCACAGACACCTACAAAATTTCATAAAAATATAATACTTCCAATTGGAATATAAAGAAAAAACTTAATCCCTTAAAGATTATTATGTGTTGTCAACCAGAAAGAGTCCTATTGAAAACTTGCGATTCAGCTGATGAGCATTCCACACAAGAAAAGAAATGAAGTGTAGTGAAAGCCAGCAATACAGAATAAGCATAAACAAAAGTAAATGTAGAAAGAAAATTAAATCAGCGCTAGATATCAACTGATCAATAAAAGAGATAAATAAAGGAGCAAGTGCTGTGGTTGGGCTCCCTGTGGTATTTTTAAGCGAAAAAAACCCTCCAAAATGCCCAAGGGCCAAATTATTCAAAGAGCAAATTTTTTCTAACACTGGCCTACAGCCAATTTCACTGAATGCCCTGATATATAATATATGCCTTGGCATGAGTTGGTTTCTACATTTACTTGTTTTATCATGCGAGTCTTGTCAAACTACAGTTAGACAAAAAAACACCCCAGGGTGTGGGGCTGGATGACACGAGATCGAAAGATAAAGATTAGCATATGTAAACAGTCAATACGCAGAAGACGCTAGTGCGTCAATTATAGAAGTGAATATCGAAAATAATTATTAAAAATATACTATAAATGAGTCAGAATGAGCCGCGAGGAAAATATTTCAAAAATTGACAAAAAAAGACAACATTTTCTTGAGCATTTCTATTTTTTTGGGGAAAGTTATGAATATTAACTAAGATACTTGCCTTCGTCTTTAGCGAGGGGATTTTCCTTAGGAAAAGGTGGTTTTCCAATGATTCCTTCAAGAAGAGTCATACCAAAAGAGAACACATCTATTTCGGTGCCATATCTAACAGTTTGGATCGAATACAGAGAGTTAAGCCCACCATATGTCTCGGGTGCCATGTATGCTTGCGTTCCTGGAACAGGCGAAAACTCTCTACTAATGTCGTTCGTAATCTTAGCCAACCCTATGTCACATATCTTAGCGCGTAATAAAGCTGGATTACTTTTATCTAGCAGGATATTTTTGGGGCAAAGATCTCTGTGAATTATTGGCACGTCTTGTAGGTGTAAGTACTCCAACCCTTTGGCAACATCAAGCATAATAGTAACCAGTTCTTCAAGAGGTATAACTGCCTCATTCTCACTAAAATGCTTTCCAAGATCGCAGTCCAGTAGCTCAGTTATCAATATTGGAGGTTTTTTTGGTTCATGGATAATATGAAGCACTTTGAGAATATTTGGATGGTCCAAACGTCGAAGAAGCTCACACTCATTCACAAATCTTGCCACCACGCCATTTTCTCCTCCTGGGTCAAAACGAACAAGCAGCGGATGAATTCGCTTCGCAGCGACTATTTTACCGTCCCATTTTGCTTTATAGACTTCTCCGTAACTTCCTGAACCCAAATTCTGTATAAAGCGAACATGATTTTGGCCCATTGTGTTTGTATGAAACCGCTTGTATTCGAATGATCAGTCTATCTGCTTTGAACATGAATTTTCCTGACAAAACAGCAATTATTTGCCTTTCTTGTCATAACTTGCTTTCAAAACGATGCAGGACTATTTATTCTTCTTTCTTCAGTTTCGCTGTAGTAAAGTCAACTAGACTGTTATGATGCGAAGCGTTTTTTAGAAGGCAGTTTTACTTTCACTTTTGGCCTTCCTTCTCTACGGTCTATTACTCATAATAATAGCTTGGGCTCCCTGTGTCAATTCCTGACCCTCGGCACCAAACTCCTAATTGCAATATTTTAAAGTGTATGTCACGGGAAAAATCACTTATATGTGAACAGTGTAGTAGTATGGTTGCAATATTTTGTATGTGGACCTCTCTTTTAAGAAATATAAACATTTGAAATATCAATATGCAAATGAGATGACGTAAATTCAGTCCATACGACGGTTCAGAATTCGATGTCTGGAAGTATGGTCCTGGTTATTTTTGATTATTCATAATAATTATATAATATAAATTAAAACAAACAGAGCTTTCTAGCATATTATGCGTTAACAATCAACCTTTGAAGGAATGGTCCTGTTAAAAATTCGCTCCAGAAAAATCACATGCATACTAACAAAGATTTAAGTTTATTTGAATGAAATCTCAATATTGCAAAATAAAGATACCCTTTGTGATGCGATCGCAGAGTTGTTTTCTTCTCGAAATCAATCGTTCGAAGATTCGGCGTATGCGCACAGGAACGCTTCACTTGTTCGTACTGATGACATTTTGGTAGCCGAAGAAGTGGACCGTTTTCTCAAGGTTGCGTGCGCAAACAAGATATAAGGAACTTGACGGGCCACGATACCAGAACACGAGTATTTTCATGTATTGCTATAAAAAAATTTTGGGTAACAATTCATAAATTTGATTATACTCCTCTTTAAATACAAAACTGTTTTCTCAATTTTGCTGAATTTGTGTTTTTCAGTTTTGTGGCCCGTCAAGTTGGATGCGAACGCAACCTTGGGAAAACTATGTCTATTGTCATGTCCCTGCTCGAGCTCATTCGATGTTGTGTCGGCTATATATCGCCCCAACTTACCGAAGAAACCACTCAAATTTGCCAGAAATTTTATTTATTTAAGGAGTTTTTGAATTATCTAATAAACAGTCCTGGCCTCTCAAATTTCATTTCTTTGTCTTTATGTACTTTCTAAGTCAGTAGTTGATCTACACCCTTTGATGTCTGGTATTCGAACCGGGTACTGATTTTGCGTCCACAACCTGTGGAAAAAGAAAATTGCTTAGCACTATATCTCTTAATAAAAAATTAAAATAAAAAGATACTTCGATGTGGTTTGTTCGTAAATAACCTTGGATAAAGCCTCTCTTGTTCGCCGTGTCTTCTTGGTAGTTGAGCCTGAAACAAAAACGACTTGTAGCGTCAGGGTTGCTAAATTTTAATACTGAAATATGGGCAATTCATGGTTCCCCCATGCACAGACCAAATAGCGAGCCAATCAACGTGTTGCAACAGTTTTACTAGTGGAATTAAAATCTTGTCCAATGAACAACTACGACAGTATCTATATTTTAAAGAGTACTGAAAGGATTTTGAGGCAATTTTAATTTCTTTTACTTTTCAAAGAACAGTAAAGAATAGAAAAAAGTAATAATAGTCAATTTTATGCGATCAGACTATTAAATTCTAAGTTATTCTAGTTAATTTGTTGAGCCGCTTGTGGGACATAGCAACGGTAACAAAGGGGAGCTGCGGAACCATGACTAAATAAGGTAGCTAATATGGCAAGCCTGGTAAAAGAAGGACAAAATTAAAAGCACAAACAAAAGCAAACTTAGAAAGTCTTACCTTGAACGTATGGCAAGGATACGAAAGAATTCCCTTATTGCTTAAGGGATAGGATGTCACTCTTCCTATTTGAGATGCCCCAAGATATTTTTCAGTTCTTAAAGCACTATCTTTCAACAGACGCTGCTCTGGATGCATCTTTACATCAAGTAAATCTTGGACTCTGATTCCATCAGAAGGAAATGGTTTTTTGTGGCTGTAGTTTGACCTCTGGAACTCAGAACTCCGGTCCCTCGGCAACACTGATCTTGTTTTTGTTCTGTAGAGTTCCATGTCAGCTAGTAAATTTAGGGTGAGTTTCGATTTCGTTCTTGTATTTAAAAAGCTACCTTCGTGGAACTTTAGCTTTCTTGCTACCGACGTTTTAAAGATAGAGCTTTCGTCCTTAGGTGTTGGATTTTCTTTCTCTTTCACAATTTTCGTTCTGGATTTGCATCTGTGTTGCCTCGCGGGAGAACGTTGGTGTCGGGAATTTTCGCTAGATTTATTGGATTTGGACGCGATTTGTGGTTCTGGCGCAAGTTCGTTGAAGATATCATTTGGAGTTATCGTGTGGGAAACTCTAAGAGATGGAAGATACCTAGAAAATGATATAGTATAATAGTCATCATACTATGACCAATTTTACGAATCACGATAATATGATTACGGTCATCATCACCGTGCACCACGCACCACAAACCACCTCACTACCATCATCACCAAAACCACCATTCACCATCAACAAATTCAACATGTCATGGGCGCAGATTCGCCAGTGTTTCAACTTTATCCCCGCCAGTCATACAAAGTCAACAGTGCGGCTGCACAAGATCACTGCCTCGACATAATACAAGATAACTTAATGGATATTTATGACAGAGATAGTAAGTAATATACATGATGGAATGCAGTTCATTTACCTATTAAGAATGGTATGAACAGATGATGGTAGGTCCTTAAGGGCTGTATAGGCCGACGCACTTGCTTCAAGACTAAAAGCCTAAAAAGAAAAAAATATGTGTAAATATAGCATAATACATAAAAATACAGAATAACTGATTGTGCTTATGTTGCGCAAATATGACAAATATCGAATAATAGGGGCAGATGTTAAGCAGTTCAGAAACTGATCGACGCGCGCGATTCGGCAAGACACACTGGCATTATGTATGGCGTCTTAAGTATGTCTTTTTTCCAAAGAATAATATGCTGTGCGATTGTTGTATATCAGTCTACAGGCTATACTATAGCTGGTTGGGCTTATACAAGCTAGTTCATATGCATGTACTTTCTTTTCTTTTTTCAGAGTCAAAACTAATTACCATTTCAAGATCTGTATTATTACTGTCTTTCTGAGCATCTTCCTCTTTCTGCGGAAAAAAATTATCGGACTGACTGAAATTAAAACAACCCGCTCTATGCTAATCAAAGTCATCGCACGTTCAACGCACAGATCAGTTGAACCTTCAAACAATTTCTGGGGTAATCTAGGGCACGTCGTCTAACTCACAGATCTAAGCCTGAACAACAACCTCTGGGCTGATCAAAGTCAGGGCATGGCTAACTCACAGATTGAACCCTGAAACAACCTCTGGGCTGATCTAAGTCAGGGCACGGCTAACTC